TTTTGCATAATATTTAGTAGTAATTTTCCCAACAGCCCCAAAATTTTAACTTTTAGATGAGTTAAAATGTCATGTATATGCAACTAATTCTGACATACACTTTCAGTGTGCACTCAAAGTGGCTACTGTTATAATTTTCATTTTTATTTAAGACCCAAGTGAAATAGCACTTTTATTGAGTCCTTTCCACTTCCCTGGAGTTACTCTGTTCCCCCTTCCTCCCCCCCTCCCCCACCATTCTGTCCAGCTGTCTGTTACAGCTGCCCTTCCCACTGTGCCCGTTTTCCTTTTCTTTCTCACTTGTCTGAACAGAAACGATGTTTTATTCAGCTCTGTATCTCCCAGTACCTAACACTGTCTGGCAAAAACAAGTGCTCCAAACAATTTTGTTTTAGTGTGCACTGGTTGTGATTACTTGCTGCCCTGTGGGAGCAGAGAGTTCAAGAAATAACAATACATGAATGAGAGCCAGGTGTGCCGGCTCACGCCTGTAATCCTAGCACTCTGGGAGGCCGAGGTGGGAGGATGGCTTGAGTTCAGGCGTTCGAGACCAGCCTGCGCAAGAGCAAGACCCTGTCTCTACTAAACACAGAAAAATTAGCTGGGCATGGTGGCAGGCACCCGAAGTCACAGCTACTCAGGAGGCTGAGGCAGGAGAGTCGATTGAGCCCAGGAGTTTGAGGGTGTAGTGAGCTATGATAGTGCCACTGCACTCTAGCCTGGGTGACAAAGTGAGACTCTGTCTCAACAACGAAAAATGAATAAATGAATTAATGAAGCACACTAGAGAACCAAGACATAATTCACAATTCCACTAGACAGTCAGTCTTCATATATATTTTCTGATTATCCTGGGTCCAGGCTAATAATGAAGTTGCTTCCCTTATCTTCACCTCTGCCCACCGACGTCAACCCCACACTACTCTACACAAGGAGCACAAAGCACCCACTGCGCGCAGAGCCCAGCAATGAGTGTTTTATTATCTGCCTCTCTTATCTCAAAAACAGTACTTTTTTCCTCTCTTACACTTCAGTATCTGCTATTGTGCTGCTAATGGATGTCTTTGTATATTTCTAGTAACAACCCCGTTAAGCAAAAATCAGTGTATCTTTTTTTTTTTTTTTTTTTGAGACAGAGTCTCACTTTGTTGCCCAGGCTAGAGTGAGTGTCATGGAGTCAGCCTAGCTCATAGCAACCTCAAACTCTTAGGCTCAAGCGATCCTTCTGCCTCAGCCTCCCAGGTAGCTGGGACTACAGGCGTGCGCCACCATGCCCGGCTAATTTTTTCTATGTGTATTAGTTGGCCAATTAATTTCTTTCTATTTATAGTAGAGACGGGGTCTCGCTCTTGCTCAGGCTGGTTTCGAACTCCTGACCTCGAATAATCCACCCGCCTTGGCCTCCTAGAGTGCTAGGATTACAGGCGTGAGCCACCACGCCTGGCCTACCTCCTCCCTTCTGGGTTGCTCTGGTGACACATGGTCCTATGGCTGCTAGAGGGACAGGCCAGGGAACTTGCTGGAAACACTGGAGCCCCCCCCCTCCCCAAGTCCTACTACCAAGTAACTAGACCCAGAGCAGCAGAAACAGGATTTGCAGCATAGAACACCCTGGTAACCATAGCAATCTCTTACTTAAACAGACATAAAGTAGATAACATAGGTTGTATTCATTAGTGTTCACCTTGGTGTAATACTGATTAGTTAATGAGCTGTTTTTCCTCCTACCTATATTAAATTTCTTTACGATTAGGGAGCCCCTTAGTAGTTGTTGTTTTTGAGATGGAGTTTCCCTCTGTCACCTGGGCTACAGTGCCATGCCATCAGCCTAGCTCACAGCAACCTCAAACTCCTCAAGCGATCCTCCTGCTCCTGCCTCAGCCTCCCAAGTAGCTGGGATTACAGGGCAGCACCACCATGCCCGATTTTTAGTAGAGATTGGCTCTTGCTCTTGCTTAGGCTTGTCTCAAAGTCCTGGCCTCAAGTGATCCTCCTGCTTCAGCCTCCCAGCTTGCTAGCATTACAGGCATGAGCCACCGCACCTGGCTGAAAGTTATTTTTTTTTTTTTTTTGAGACAGAGTCTCGCTTTGTTGTCCAGGCTAGAGTGAGTGCCGTGGCGTCAACCTAGCTCACAGCAACCTCAAACTCCTGGGCTCGAGCGATCCTTCTGCCTCAGCCTCCCGAATAGCTGGGACTACAGGCATGCGCCACCATGCCCGGCTAATTTTATATATATATCAGTTGGCCAATTAATTTCTTTCTATTTATAGTAGAGACAGGGTCTTGCTCTTGCTTAGGCTGGTTTTGAACTCCTGACCTTGAGCAATCCGCCCGCCTCGGCCTCCCAGAGAGCTAGGATTACAGGCGTGAGCCACCACACCCAGCCAATGTATTTAATTTTTTACTGAATTATGTATAAATTTGGGTAGACAATGGATTTATAGCCATCTGAAAATGTTCTCGTTGAATCATGACGTAATAAGCCACCTGCAACTGCTCAGACCTTTGCTAATAAAAGCCCCAGATTCCTATCATGAAACGGCCATTTCTCACAGGTACCTGCCACCCACCCACACCCCCACAGGTAAGACCCAAAGGCTTACTTACTTCCCTTTGGTTCATTACTCCTAAGACCCCCTGCAGGTGAGGGTGGGCGGTGTCAGGCCCTTAATCCCGTATGGCCACTGCTCTACTGATTGTTCAGAGAGAAACCGCTTAACTAGTTCTATGTGGCACAGCATTTTCCTAACCAGGCCGTGCCTCTCATTCAAAAGCACCTGGTTTATGAATTACAAGTTTTAAACTAAACTCACTCTCTAGACCTAAACACATTCAGTGTGATCGCTACTTCTCCTTTTCAAGGTTGAGGTAGTCATGAACGCGATTCTGTTTTTAAAGTAAAATACACAGACACGTGCACACTGGCATGTGCTCTGCTTTCCGTCCCTCCTAAGGGGAAACAATCTGAAACAGAACATTCGAGAAATCCATCATACAATGATCTTGTTGGGGGTGAGTGGCTTGCCTCGGCCAGCTGTGACTGCCTCATCTCACTCCACTGGTGACACCTGTAGCGAGATGCTCATCCACCTGCATCGTGCCTTCTCCAGCCCATGCTGCAAGGACTTGCTCTTTGAGCTTTGCTTTTCTAGCCTAGAAGTGATCCCCTTTCTCCAGACCTCAATGCCCTTGGCCATGGTATAGCTTCAGTCATGTTAATACAATTGATTTCTCTTGAAAACTATACCTGCTTGCTTTGATTGAGATCTGGCTGTTCTCCCAAACCCCTCAAGCCATTCAGATTATTGTGTTGTATTCCTTCTACAGGTAGTTAATTTGTCCATGCTTACCCCCTCAGTATTTTTTCTGAGGGTAACTATGAAATAACATTCAAAGTCCATTGTCCAAAACTCTTTGAGTAGTGCTGAGACGGACACGGATAATATTTAACAATTACTCTTTTTTGCTATTTCCTAAACACACCAGCAGCCTTAACTAATTGAATGTTTTTGCATAAGCAAATGAAAGAACATTGGCCTGGGTATGTGATGTGCTTGTTCAGAAACCATTCATTCTGTTTAAAGTGATCAAGCATGGCTTAGCTCTTATCCTTAGGAGATTTTTTTTGGAGACAATCTCATTCTGTTGCCCAAGCTAGAGTGAGTGCTGTGGCGTCAGCCTAGCTCACAGCAACCTCACACTCCTGGGCTCAAGCAATCCTCCCAGCCTCCAGAGTAGCTGGGACTACAGGCATGCGCCACCGTGCCCAGCTAAATTTTTTTCTATGTATTTTTAGTTGTCCAGCTAATTTATTACTATTTTTAGTAGAGATGGGGGGTCTCGCTCTTGCTCAGGCTAGTCTTGAACTCCTGACCTTGAGGGATCCTCCCACCTCAGCCTCCCAGAATGCTAGCATTACAGGTGTGCGCCACTGCACCGGCCCTTAGGAGATTTTAAGTTCAGCTCACAGAAGGCTGTGTTAATTCCCAACACTCAGAGGGTCTCTCGCTTGTAGCCCTATATTAACAACAAAACTGTACCCATATATTAGTGAAACAGACTTCACCAGTTTTGATAGAAAGCATTTGCCACACACCAGAGAAAATATGGTTCCCCCAATGCCTAAAACATTTACCATCCAATTCTTTACATTTACAGAAAATTAATGGCAAGTCCTGCATTAGAATGTGTGCAAGGGAAAAAAAAAACAAAACATTCTGTATGACCATGTGTGGCTTAGTTAAAAAGAAGAAATTTAAAGAAAAAAATGAAATTAAAATTTATTCAAAAATAAACACAGCATTTGCCAGTCTCAATGACCAAAATTTTTTATATACTTTCAGTTTAGATGTGTCCTCTCAATTGTGTCTTTGTACCCAAGCAATCATGGCATAAAAAAAAAAAAAAAATCAATTGTGTCTTTGATAAACATTACCTTTATCTTCTTCCCAAATACAAACCAAACTACGTCACTGCCCTGAAGGGTGTCACTGCCTTTGCTCCTTTGGTTGTTCCTTCCTGTCCAGTATCCTTCCCTGCCTATCCAGTTTTACCTATTTTTTTTTAGGGCAGATTCTGAACCCCCATCTCCTGCGAGAGACCTTTCCTTAACTTTGGCTTTATTCAGTTTGGCGTTTAGTCGTGTCCTAGGACATCATACCTTACAGAGATGAAGTCCTTGAGAGCAGGGACCATGCCTGTGACTTCTCCAGGGCCACCCGCAGCCTACACACACTTGCCAGCACGAGCGTTCAACAGAGACTCACTGAATTGAACTAAATCAGATGTCAAGGAGAGTCATGGTCATTTCTGCCTCATTTGCATCAAGATGTGAACCAAAACAGTGACCCAGACCAAACTCACTTTAGGAAGTTCCATGTAAGGTTAGACATCATACATACTCAAGAGATTCTCTTTTTTTTTTTTTTGAAGTCAGAACAATCCTTTTCTATACCTCTTGCTAACTTCACTAATGATGTGTTTTGCTCTTCTTCAACAGGCTGCATGTTAAACGGCCAAGAGGTAAGGCTCACCATCCACTACGAAAATGGGTTCACTATCTCCAGGGAGAATGGAGGCGCCAGCAGCATATTGTACCGCTACCCCTTCGAAAGGCTGAAGATGTCTGCTGACGACGGCATCAGGAATCTGTACCTTGATTTTGGTGGTCCCGAGGGAGAACTGGTAAGAGTGTTTCTGGAAGACATGTTTATTCTAATAGGTATTTCTCTTTCCCCCTCCTCCTCACTTCTTCTTACTCTTCATAGAAAATCATGGACTGACGTTCCATTTGGAACCAGGACATTTTTTTTCCATTTTCAAGATAGCATTGGGTTTAGGTTTCCATTGTTGTTTTTCTTTCTCCACATTAGGAAACCATTCTCTTTTTAAAGTTTTGTTTAATGTTAAAAGGAACTAGCCCTTGTAAGAAATAGGTTTTTATCAAAAATAACGTAAAATACTAAAGCTGGCAAACTTAAATAAGTTCTATCCATTGCTATTATCAGCAGTTTGCTGGAGTAAGAGTTGAGTAATAGAGTGACTTGGTTGCTACAGAAAGTCTGCTGATCAGAAAAAAAAGAAATACATATATCCACATAGCCATCATCTTTTTTTTTTTTTTGTCTCCTCGTTCTTTAAAGGAAATAACACGAAGTCATGATTCCTCTTAGAAAGGCCAGAGAAATATGTCAGACATCGAAAATAAGTTATGACAAAGGAGTACAGTAGTACTTTTTCTTTCTTCAATATTTAGCCAACAGTTCAAAGTCTTACCACACATGAAATCTTATGTCTACTGACATAGTCCCAGTGGATGTAGATTTTGATAGTCTTGCAATTTTAGAACTGAAAGATCTTAGAGATAGGATACTTCAACCTCCAAATGAGAAAATTGCAGTTAAAAAAATATTTTTAGGTTCCACTTGAGTATTGTAATATAAAAAAATTAAATATATAGAAAAAATTATTAATTTTTAAAAGTATAAAATCTTATTTTGATTATTTAATTTATTTTTTTTTAAGACAGGATCTCACTATGTTGCCCAGGCTGGCCTTAAACTCTCAGGCTCAAGCAACCTTCCCACTTCAGCCTTCTGAGTAGCTGGGACTATTAGCATAGATAGACCCAAATATCCATACCCACCTCTGGAAATTTTATTTTTATTTTTTTTGAGAGAGAGTCTCGCTTTGATGCCCAGGCTAGAGTGAGTGCCGTGGCGTCAGTTTAGCTCACAGCAACCTCAAACTCCTGGGCTCAAGCGATCCTGCTGCCTCAGCCTCCCAAGTAGCTGGGACTACAGGCATGGACCACCATGCCTGGCTAATGTTTTTTCTATATATATTAGTTGGCCAATTAATTTCTTTCTATTTATAGTAGAGACGGGGTCTTGCTCTTGCTCAGGCTGGTTTCGAACTCCTGACCTCGAGCAATCCACCTGCCTCGCCCTCCCAGAGTGCCAGAATTACAGGCGTGAGCCACCGCGCCCGGCCGGAAATCTTATTTTTTATTTTGTATAGACAGTCTGTACACCCAGGCTCAAATGCAATGGTGCAATCACAGCTCGCTGCAACCTTAAACTCCTGGGCTCAAGGGTTCCTCTCAACTCAGCTTCCCGACAGGCACATGCTACCATGCGCAGCTAATTTATTTTTAGTAAAGATGGGGGTCTGTGATGCCCAGGCTGCTCTCAAACTCCTGGCTTCAAGTGATCCTCCTGCTTCACCTCCCAAGGTGCTGGGATTATAGGTGGGAGCCACTGCACCTGGCAGAAATCTTAAATGATGCACATACATGGGAGACTATGGATAAGCCATGGCCCAGGGCTTTACAAAAGCCTTAGGCATTAGTGAGAGTTAAATCCTTCTCTATTAAATTAGCCAGTTATTAATATCGGTTGCCATTTAGCAAGTAAGGTATTAGATTATTCCTGGCTATTTATATATTTTTAACCTGTTTTATTCCTGGCTATTTTTAACTCCTGATTTATATTTATTTATTTTTTTTTTTTGAGAGAGTCTTATGCTGTTGCCTGGGCCAGAGTGCCGTGGCGTCAGCTTAGCTCACAGCAACCTCAAACTCCTGGGCTCAAGCAACCCTGCTGCCTCAGCCTCCCGAGTAGCTGGGACGACAGGCATGTACCACCGGCATGTACCACCATGCCCAGCTCATTTTTTCTATGTACATATTAGTTGGCCAATTAATTTCTTTCTATTTTTTAGTAGAGATGAGGTCTCACTCTTGCTCAGGCTGGTTTCGAACTCTTGACCTTGAACTATCCTCCTGCCTCGGCCTCAGAGTGCTAGGATTACAGGCGTGAGCCACCATGCCTGGCCTATATTTAATTTTATACAAAGTTTAGAAATGAACTAGTGCTTTATAATCTATGTTACCAGTAAGTTGTATTTTTCTTTAAAAGGCAAAGTTAACTGAATTATGTCCTCTTCCTGATGTGTTATCAGTGCCAAGGGCCGGCCACACACTGGCTGCTATAGCCTCATCCCAATCCTGGTGCAGCAGGTGGCAGCTATTCACGCTAGGCCTATGCTTAGAGTTTAACTGGGCTTCCTAACTAGCCTCCCCCGACTTGCATTCCCACCACAAACCCAACAAAGGGTGTCAAAAATCACGCCCTTAGGCTGGTCAAGGTGCCATGGCTCACACCTGTAATCGTAGCACTCCAGGAGGCTGAGGTGGGAGGATCCTTTGAGCCCAGGAGTTCGAGACCAGCCTGAGCAAGAGCAAGATGGGTTCTCTACTAAAAATAAAGAAATTAACTAGCCAATTAAAAATATATAGAAAAAAATTAGCTGGGCATGGTGGCGCATGCCTGTAGTCCAAGCTACCCAGGAGGCTGAAGCAGGAGGATCGCTTGAGCCCAGGAGTTTGAGGTTGCTGTGAGCTAAGCTGACGCCATGGCACTCTAGCCAGGGCAACAGAGTGAGACTTTGTCTCAAAAAAAAAAAAAAAAAAAAAAAAAAAAATCACGCCCTTAGGCTGGGCGGGGTGTGGTGGCTCACACCTGTAATCCTAGCACTACAGGAGGCTGAGGTGGGAGGATCCTTTGAGCTCTGGAGTTGGAGACCAGCCTCAGCAAGAGCAAGACCCCATCTCTACTAAAAAATAAATTAGCTGGACGAAAATATATAGAAAAAATTAGCCGGGCATGGTGGCATATGCCTATAGACCCAGCTACTTGGGAGGCTGAGGCAGAAGGATTGCTTGAGCCCAGGGGTTTGAGGTTGCTGTGAGCTAGGCTGACATCACAGCACTCTGGCCCAGGCAACGGAGTGAAACTGTCTCAGAAAGAAAAAAAAATAAAAATAAATTTTATATATATATATACACACACACATACACACACACACATACACATACACACACACACATATATATATACACACACATATATATATATATCTCTCACTCACACCCTCAGATGGTCATGCTGAAGCTGAAGCTGAGTTTGCTGTGCCCACACCCCAGGAATATAATTACAATTAGTGGTGTCCATATGGGATATTCCTCTTTAAATCCACTTTTTAGTCCTTCCTACCAGGCGTGGTGGAACCCAGTATACCACCTAATTTGTACGTGAAACTTCACACCACTATTACATTATGACACACAATAACCTGCTTCATAGTATACTTTTGTTTGTGGCTTTCAGTTCCCAAGAGTTTCCATAGCTCTGGTACATTCTTTATCCCAGTTCTTTCTAAAAAGTAGAACATCACATTTCAGTGTGCTTGTTTGGCATCTTTATTACATTGTCTGTGTTATATGGTGGTGATAACGTCCTCTCTCCACAGACCATGGACCTGCACTCTTGTCCGAAGCCGATCGTATTTGTGTTGCACACGTTCTTGTCAGCCAAAGTCACTCGTATGGGACTGCTTGTCTGAGCAGCAGCAAAAAAAAAAAAAAAAAAAAAAAAAAAAAAAATCAGAAGAGCCTTGACTGTCACAAGAAGTATTTCCAACTCCAGAAAAAAAAAAAAAAAAAGCACAAAAAGCAAGCTCTCTGCTCTCTCCTCCAGCACAGTGCCTTCCCAAGAACCTGCGAACCACTGCTGACCCAGCCCCGCGTTTAAGGACGAGCTACCTTTCCCAATCCACCTTGGCCAGACATTCTAGCACTCTAATGAGCTCCAAAATGAAGCTGGTGATTTACTGTCTTGTTTCATTATGTGGTTTATAAGTAATTAGGTCTGTTTCCCCTGCTAAAAAAGGATGGTTCATTCTGTTTCTCGTTTTAGACATAATCAAATAGCCAAGAGTTGTTTTCTTTTTCTTCTTCCTATAGGATTTGTTTTGGGCTTGGCCTTGATCTCTTATTTAGGACAACTCTCCCTTCCCAGGTGCTAGTTTGCACCAGCCCGTGGCTTCCGGGTCATTCCAGATAGGCCGTATGTCTTGGAGTTTACTGTCCTCCCTAGCTCCGTCCACCCTAGGAAGTCCTTCGGTTGCGTCACCAAAGGGTTCTTCTATCTGTCCTGGCTGTCACTCTATCCCCACCCTGGCCATTCCTACCTTATCACAAGCTTTGCTACTCTGAAGTGCTATCTTTAGGACTTAGAACTTCCAAGATTTGATTGCCTTGCCTTCCACCACCCCCCCCTTTCTGGTGGTGACCACATTGAAAAGCCAGTTGGAAATCACTGCTTTGAAAGAAAGGTTTTGCTTCGTTTAGGTTTTTCTGATTTATCTTGGTAAGAGCCAGGGAACGTTATAAGATTTACTTTAAAAGAAAAATCCTCATTTTAGGCTAAGCCATTTTTTTATTGCTTACCAAATGTGCCTTTGGTTAGGGTTAGTGGAGCTTTATCAGTCAGCATTTGAGCAACTGGATATCACTGCCATTCCAGGGAGACCATCCACCCTAGTTTTGAGAAATAGTCTTGGAGGTGGGTTTCCTCAATGGCATCTTTTCTAGCGGGCAGGTCTCTTTGGGGAAGGTTAATCCTGAAGAACCAGCTTGCTTGGAGAGTAGACTTTGTGGGTAAAGCCACGTTTTTGGCACAAACATCAGGTGCGATTGCTTTGGGCTGTGCGAGCCACGTGGCATCCTGGCCCTGGCCCTCTCCCTGTGGGGCCCCAGAGTGGCACGGACAAGCAGCAGCCAGTCAGGACTCAGTGTTGCCTTCACACCACATCCCACAGCGGGCAGGGTGACACCACCATGGAACCTGCATTTTGTTAAGCACTGCCAGCCAGATGTCATCCTGAGGACACAGTGGCAGTAAGATTGTCATTTTGTGTTACTGGAGAATCACACTCAGTGTGTTTTTCCTGATTTTGAAGGAGGTATATACCTGACAACACAATAGTATAATATCTACGTAAAATGTCAAGATTAGTACAGTTCTTGGATCTGAAAGAAAAGGTAATATTGATTTGGATGTTATTTATGCTCTCTGAAGAAAACTCTAGGAGTAGTTCTCATTTACTAGATTTGTCCAGACTGCCAAAGGAGGACGTGAGCACTGTGGGGTGGCGGGGTGGCACTCCACAGGGGGCGGGGAGAGAAGCCGACACAGCCGTATATGCAAAACAGAAGCCTGTGGTTCTAGTGCGGACTGGCTGGTGGGACTGGTGAGCAGGGAGAGTCCTGGGTGGATGTTGTAACCTCGTCGTCTTCCCCTGCAAGAGTCAGTCCTCCTCCCACATGTACAGTGAGACCAGCACCAGGCAGAGGCTGGGAGAGATGCCTGTTCTTGTCCCAGCTTCATCTTACTGAAGTTCCAAAAACAAATTATCTGATCCACTTTAAACTGGAAATTAAAATCTAGACAGGATTGTCTTTCGAGAGCTTGTTATGTTTTGAAAATTCATAAACCTAAAGATTGGTTCTACTTGAGATAAATTTTTCAGGGAAGGAAGAAAATGCCTTGAAGGTCCAGCTATGATTTCTAGAAGCAGAATTTTAGCACACAGTACCCTCCGATAAGACATTCGGACACTATGCAGTGGAAGCATTATTAATGTGAGATGTTGAACCATGTGTTCACAGACTCCAGTGGCAAAGCCATTTGGTGGAGGTTTTCTGTGTTAACGTGAAAGGCTAAGTCACTGAGATTTGCAGGGAAACTTCTGAGCCACCCTGCTTATTAGTGACAGAAAAATCTGTAAAGTAGGTGTGACTATAATGTGAGCAGGAGAGGCAGGGCACGTGTGCATTTCAGCTTGCTTTGCTCAGGCTTACACTGTCGCGTGTAACGCTGATGTCCATAGGGTTAATAGCTTGTGAGTCGTGATGTGAAATGAAAGTATACAGATTTCCTTTGTCCACTAGCTGCCCCCAAGAGCAAGAGCCCATAAGGCACTTGTTTTACATCAACGGCTTTCCAATCATGGGTAACAATTAAGTATGTTTGTGGGATTGCAAAACCACAATGGGACACCTTGGTAAATACGTATTAATATTTTGTATTTAGATGCCAAAATATGGCAGACCATTTTTAAATAACTAAAAATGGGCATTTTTAATATTTCACCTTTTATAAATCTAGCTAACTTTTCATTTTGCATTAGGAAAATTCAGAGTGTTGTGGGCTTGTGTGTGTAGAATGGAAAGGAAACTGCATATTGGTGCCCCCAATTCACATGGCCCAACTTCCTGTGCCCCCGAGACCTGGGGCTTAGACATCTTCTCCACATTCCACACAGACCCTGTAAGCAGCCAGTTGGCGTGTGACAAGTCCTCCTCCGCTCTCCCTAGAGCTTCTCTCCACAAAAAGAGAAAGAAAAAGAAAAGGCTAGGTTTTTCTTTCTCTGAAAAAGGTAGGTCCTTTCCTGAAGTCATCAAATTAACCTACCCTGGAAATCAGTATCTAATATTTTATATGAAGAAATACTTAAATGTATGTTTATGCAGTATTTTATCAGATAGCTGTAACTGTAAACTCACCTACCTAGTAGGTAAGAGTTTCAGGTTAAATAATTGAAACATGTATAGGCAGTCAAAACGTTACTTTAAATTTCATTCACCTATTTTAAAGCCATGTTTTTGCACCCTTTAAGCTAGAGAAAGTCTAATAGTGCCTGTTTTTATCATCTGTACTCTCACAAACTTTGTTACTGAAAATTATTGCATGGCAGGAGAGATTATTTCTCATATTTTCGTAAGTAGAAAAATATAGACAATGAATGGCTAATATTGTTACTGATGGTTTTCTTAATTTATCCTCCTAAGCAAAATGGTAAAGATTTTTCCAGCTGAAAAATGCACTTAGCTGATAACTCAGAATTTACTCTTGGGGGGAAAAATTAAGCCGTGTGGAATCTGGACAAGATTATGTTTCTGTCGCAAACAGGTTTTGCTGTAAATGGTTTTGATGGACAGAAGTGTGAGAAAAGATGATTTTTTTTTTTTTTTTTGTTACTTTTGTGAGAAACTCCAGGTCTTCTTGCTTAACTTATATGCATGTGGATATATTTGTTTTCAAAGCCATGGAAGAATCTCTGTTCATATTTTTTAATGCAAATTACCTTGTATGCTGCTATGCAAATTCTATTAAAAGCCCTACCTGCTTAGAGTTAAACATTTTTGAAACTTTCAGGGAAGACCTGTAGACTCAAGCACTTTCTGCTTTTTTGTATCTTATCTTGGACACTTATGCTGAATTATGTTCTTATTTTCACTGGTTATAAGCTATTGATTGTACATAATATTTAAGCTATCCAAATATCCAACATACATTTCCACGTGGCTGCCATCGGCTGTTGATGCCATGAATGAAATGGCTGCTTAGAAAGCCAAAGGTCTTTTTTCAGTCCCTAATAAAGTAAAATGCCAGATCTTTTTGGTCTTGAAGCAAATTGCTCTGATTACATCAAATGTCTATGTGATGAGAAGAGACATTTAAGTTTGGGATTCTGCTTAAACTTTAAGATCAATTTGATTAGAGTCATATTCATTCTTTTTACGCATCTGTATCAGGTATGATATTCTATCCCAGATATACATCGTATAGTATATTCTACTTTGAGTTTAGATATCATTTTTAGTTAAATCTCGGTTGTTGGGGCTTTTCTTTTTCCCTCTGAAAATGAAAGTACAAGGAATCTGCCATCACCTGCCATTCTCTTTCTGTGCCCTATGTTTTAATCGCTTGGTAATCTAGAATTATTTTTTTTTTTTCTAGAATTATTTTGACTTTCCACACACAGCCTGTCTTTAAACAGTAGCAGTCCTCCTCCCCCCACTTAAGCTGTGTCTTTCCCTGTGCTGGATACATACATACTCAGTAAATGTGTGATGATAATTCTGAAATAATTATATTGTATATCAGGATTATGTATTTCAGCACTATAGTTATTCCTATGCCATAATAATGTTAAGTGGAATTTATTTTACACCAGTATCAGAATCCTTAAGTGGCTGATGTGAAACCCTTTTTCTTAAAAAAAAATCTGGCAGATCAGTGATACGAGTTTGTCCTATTAAAGGATAGATATTTCAAGTTAAGGGCAAGACACATAAAGCACATCTCTTTTCTTGTCTCGCTGACACTAGCTCAACTGCCAACTAGAATGTTTATTATATATTAACTTCAGAGAATATTTTAACAAGATCTTCTGTTGTTTCACAACATAAACTTGAGCTTAATCTCTTGCCGCCTCTATTCTTCCTTCCCACTTTGGGTGACTGAACTGAAGTATATTCAGTTTGAGAAGTGAATCCACATTTAATATAACACATAAATACGCATTTGCAAATTATTGTTTGTTCTCCAATGATTGTATTCAACAAAAATCTACCATATAAGCCATAATCCTTGAATTGCCCTTTTCAAAGTAGATTGGTTAAAGCTACAGAAGTATAGCAGAAATGATACTTCATTATACTGTATGTAAGCTTAGGAATCCTGGCTATATTTCTGATTTCTGAGTCCCGTAAGTACCTTTCTCAGTTTTGGGCTAGAGCGCAGCGGCATCATCATAGCTCACTGCAGCCTCGAACTCCTAGGCTTGAGAAATCCTCCTGCCTCAGCCTCCTGAGTAGCTAGGACTCCAGCCACAGAACACCATGCCAGTTTTCTTCAGTTTTTTTAGAGACAGGGTCTATGTTTCTCAGGCTCAGTAATCTTAACCTCCATGTCATTGACACATGCTTTTTAGTTGTCACCTCTTCCAAAATGACAGAAGTCTCTTATGAATACACAAAAGGTTCTTTAGGTACTTGGAGGAACTTTGAAATGGCAAGGCTAATTAGTGACATATTAATTCATGTATTCTTTCATCTAATTAACGCTTATTTAATGTGTAGTTCTGTACCAGGCATTCCAAAGGGTCCAAAAGAAAATTCCTGCCCTCAAGTACCAGGAATTTTCTCAGTCACACCATGCCATCTGTTTATCAATCGGCAGTTAAGTACCTCTTCATATTTTTACCAAAGTAAAAAATTTACAATTCTGCTTATCTAGATCTGGCCAACTGGAAACTATTTAAAGGGATGTCCAGGCTTTTATCCACACCAATGTGAAATGACTTTGAACTTCAAGTTTGGGAAAGAAAACAGTATCCTTAGCAAGATACATCACAACAAACAAGAATTAAGCTCTGTTGCCCAAAGTGGATCCATGGGATCAAGTCTTTTAAAAAAAAAAATGCTTCTTTCAACTATGAACAGCAAACCTGAATGCATATTTCCTCAACCCTCTAAGATTTGCTAACCCATTCATTTCTACGCTTATACCATTTATGCATCTAATTTGCTGGAAGTCTCCTTTTTCCTGGAATACTCTGGCATTAAAATTCAGTGAAAGGGGACCTAAAGAAAATAAGAGGTTGGTTGAATTTTTCTGTAAGCTTCACACAGTAACAGTCCCTTTCTGTCCAGCTTGCCTTCCATTAATCCACTAGGGTCACCTTTTCAGGCAATGTCCCTAGACATGCTCAGAAAGTAGCTAAGCGATCTGTGATCGGAATGAAATAAGGGACATAATCACATGGGCTCCTTCCCCTTTGTTTTCCAGCATCCTGGAATTGTGCACAAAAAAAAATCGGGCATGCCTTCAGTGTCTTGGTCTTTACTTTAAACCTACCCTTTGACAATCAGGTGCTAATGATTGTATATTACTGAAACCAGCACACATAAGTATTGTCTTGTAAGTGTCTGCCCCTCCTAGGTTGGAAAAGGTCCTTTTCCTTCTATCTTGGTTCTGCTGAGGAGGGTGTCACATATTTTCACCTGTTTTGTAAATTAATAGAATTTGGGGAGAGGAAATTATTTAAACTAAGTTTCGGGTTTGGCACGGTCATCGTTCTCGGTGATACTCTTCTCACCTTGTAGCAAATCTGCCCTTATCATAGCAACCGGTTTGGGATTTTTTTCCTCCACTATAGGCTCAAGTGTTATGTTTACAATCTGTTGGAGGAGTTCAGCATTATGAGACCTTGGTACCCAAAGAATCTGTTTCCTTTTTGGTACCAGATCTGAGGTTTTTTAAAGAAGATAATGTGGAAAACCACTACCTATTGAAGGCCTATTTTGGCTCATCTTTGCAAACTCTGATTATACCCACTTATATGTATTCTTTTCCTTACTGCTTTCATTTTTGTTAATTATAAAGACTTAGAAAGCTTAAATAATACTTCTACCAATAATTAAAACTATGTGATATTCTGGGTTCTTCTTTTTAGAACAGTGTATTTAAAGATGACTTTTTAAGTCTTATTTAAAATTTAAATCTCAAATCTTCTGGATACCAAATCAAAAACCCACAGCATAAAACAGGGCAGTACTTGTGTTCTTAATTTTTAAAAAAGCTTTATGTATACTCTATAAATATAGATGCATAGACAACACTTCCCCTTGAGTTGCATATCAACATATAGCATTGTACATTACAATGAAAATTTGTAACTTAAGGCTATTATATATATAAATATATACCTTTGTAACCTTTATACTGTAAATAAAAAGTTGCTTTTAGACTTGTATTTTCTCCATTTTTTTTAACTGTTAAAACAGTTTCAAACCTATAGGAAAGTTTCAAAAACAATACAAAATCCTCCTGTATGCCCTTCCCCCAGATTTTCCAATTGTTAACATTTTACCACATTGGTTCCATTATGTTGCCTTGTCTTTTTCTGACATGATACTCTGTCACCCTTCAATCCTCTGGTGTGTACCTCCAAAACACAAGGACATTCCCTGCATTGCCACCATGCCTCCCAATCGGGAGATCAACACTGGTACACCACCACCAGCCGCTCCAGAGACCCCGCCCAGATTCCTCCCAGCTGCGTTTTCCTTTCCCTTCTGGCCCAGGATCACACGTTGCTTTGCGTTGTCCCATCTCATCAGTCAGGACCAGCTCCTCAGTCTCACCCTCATTCTCATTCTCATCGGAGTCTCAGAGAGCACAGGTCTCTCGCTCTGCAGGATGGCCCTGTCCCTACTCTGCCTGGGACCAGACCCGGTCACTGCTCTTGGCAGGAAAACCACAGAAGCGAAGCCAGGCTCTCCTCAGAGTACCCTGTTAGGAGGCACACGATGGTCACCTGTCCCAACACTGGCGGTGTTAACATCAATCACCTGGTCCAGGTAGTGTCTCCATCACCTTCCCCTTGTATTTGATTAGCGTCTGGTGGGGAGACACTCACATGTACCAACATTCTGGGCTTCATCAAACCACCCCCACCAGCTTAACATCCATTAACTCCTGTCTGTATCTGCCACTGTGACAGCTGCCAAGGGTGATCATCTAGTGTCATTCCTTCTGCATTTAGTAGGTGGCATTTTGCCAGAAGCCAGAACTTCCTTCTCCCCATGTATTGACATTAAATACTCACAGATTTCTGGTTGTAAATGGGTTTTCATGCGCTGCTTATTTTCCAACTCCTGACCTTGAGTGATCCACCTGCCTCAGCCTCCTAGAGTGCTAGGATTACAGGCATGAGCCACCACGCCCGGCCTGCACTGCTTACTTTAATGTCCAAATTATCCTAGAGTTGGCCAGTGGGAGCCCCTTCAGAAGTCCTGGAATCAGCCATTTTCCCATGAGGCCCTGAGGCTTTTTAATGTAGGCTGATACTCAGAAACCAAGATCTGGGTGCTTGGTTTGCTCATTCCTACGTGGCAAAGAAAACGTGCGTGGGTGTGTACACGAGTGTGTTGTACGTATATACACACGTCTCTATCTCTAGATCATTTAAAAGCTATTCAGATACTTCTAAGATACGAGGAGTCTATCTTCCCCATCCATGTTTGTAACTCCCTTCTCAGCCAGTGAGTAATCTTTGACTCCAATTATTTTCAATACATTTACTTATCTGCTCAATTAGTAATTTGTGCAATGTGACCCGCACCCCAACCACTCGGGTCACTGCTCCCCACCCTCCCACCACCTCCGGGCACACTGTCCTGCACCCCTGCCGGCGTCCCCTCCCTCTCACCTCTGGGTGGGGAGGGCAGGGAAAAGAAGGGAAGGTGGGAACAGAAGCAACCTGCATGTTTTTTGCCCTCAATCTTTCCTCTTATAGGAGAGACTTGTGACCAAGTGAATCACCTGTCTCCGGGGCCACTGTGAAGCACATGCACGACAACCCCACTCTTAAAAACTTCCAATTCCAATTCCACCACTTTCTGTGTGACGGAAGCTTACTCAGGGGACCAATCTGAGTTTTATACTTTGGGTCACAGACAGGAGAAGGAGAGAATAGTTTCTCAGGAATCACATTAGAATCATCAGTGCTCCAACTATTAAACATTTGGGTGTCAGTCACTTACTTTTCCTGGTTGTTGTCAGAATCCCGGGTTTCGGCACCAAAGATGTCAGGGTGGAAGTCTGCCCTCAGTTTGTGCTGTGCTCTTGGCCGAAGAATAATCAGACACACCAAAGTGTCAAGTCCAGACTATCATCCCAGTCCTCTCTGACTCCTCCTTGCTTGGAAAAGTCACCAGCAAAGCCAATACGCCGGCAGGAGCAATTTCACAAGAGCAGCTCTGTCTGCGAGTGGAGACAAACACACCAACTCACTACTGACGTCTCGGATTGTTCCGGTTTAATAGCCCAGTCTGGAGGTGGACTCTTGGGAGGTGTGGGGTGTTAGCAAATGATCAACAGGTGTCCTCAAATTTCCATCTGCCTACACGAGCTCCCTCTAACAAAGCCCACCTGGGGGCTGAACTGCAATGCAGTTTCAAGCTAATGGCATATTAATTACCCTTACATTACTTTAGGTCACTTTCTAAATATTATTATAATGCCTGGGCTGGGAATTCCCAGATTGATAAAGCATTCCGTCCTTCCCCGGGTGGAGCAGTTGCTCGGGATAGGATTCAGGGTGGGGCAACAAGACACAAAAATGGAGTGCCAGCCCTTGCCCTTCTTCCCAGGTGGTGCACTTGTTTGAAACAGCACCAAAGCAGAGAACCCTTGTCCCAAGAAGAGCCTGAGATCCTACCGATCTGCCTAACATTATCAGCATTCAAAACTTCAGTCACCTGGCTGGGAGAGGTGGTTTATGCCTGCAATCCTAGCACTTTGGGAGCCCCCCCCACCCCCGCAGGTGGAAGCGTCCCTTGAGCCCAGGAGTTCGAGACCAGCCTGAGTAACACAGCAAGACGCCCTTCTCTACAAAATAATACAAGAATTAGCCGGGCATGGCGGCATGCACCAGCTACCCAGGAGGCTGATGCAGGAGGATCGCTTAAGCCCAGGAGTTTGAGGTTGTAGTGATGCCACTGCACTTTAGCCTGGGCAACAGAACGAAATCCTGTCTCAAAAAACAAAAAGCTTTCAAGAGAATTGGCTCAGAGCAAGAAAAAAAAAACTTTATTCACCTGAACCTGGTTTTGTTTGCCCTCCCTCCACACTGCTCTTGGCCCCCATTCAAGGGCTTCTTCAGCGAGTTGTTATATTCCGCGGCGCGAGCCCCAGAATGCTGGTGTGATTTCACTAGGTTGTACTGACTAACCAGAGCTGACTCACTGGTCCAAGACTGGGTTTCCAATATGTGCCCCATTCTTAGCATCAGCAGAACACAATCTAGAAAAGAGCCGTGTGGGAAAGAGCAAACGGAATTGTGAATTTGAAAGTCAATGACTTGCTACCTAAAGTGTGGGCGCTGAGAACCCGATTTCTGCTATAGTGAGAAAGTGAGAACATGAAGTTATTGATCTGATTTAGAATCATCAAGCCTGAATATGTCACATGTGCCAGCCCCAAAATGACTTGAAGTTTGGTGCCTGTGCTCCCCTCATTCCCTCCTCCACGCACGTCCCCAGCAGTGGCAACACCACTGCGGAACTGAGGGCTTTGTTTTCGACAGCCTGAGGGTCTGTTTTGAAGCTATCATCACCTGGCTTCTAAGGAGAAAATCTTCAGTGGTGTCCTGTGAGATGGGGAGACCCCTGAGCCTCTAGAGCTCAGAGGACAAAATAAATTTCTGTTGTTGAAGGCGCTCAGTCTGTTACTTTGTTACAGCAGCTCTAACAAGCTAATACAGCCTCTTCTCTTTATGGGGACTTTTTGTTTTAATTCCATCTTTCAACTTGGGCAGCCCATCTAATGTGGAGGATTAATATGTTCTCATCTTCTGTTTGCTTTTTGATTATTTATTTATTTATTTATTTAGAGACTGAGTCTCGCTCTGTCGCCAGACCTAGAGTGTGCTTTATGAATCTTTTTTTTTGAGACAGAGTCTAGCTCAGGCTAGAGTGAGTGCTGTGGCGTCAGCCTAGCTCACAGCAACCTCAAACTCCTGGGCTCAAGCAATCCTCCTGCCTCAGCCTCCAGAGTAGCTGGGACTACAGGCGTGCACCACCATGCCCGGCTAATTTTTTCTATATATATTAGTTGGCCAATTAATTTCTATTTATAATAGAGACGGGGTCTCGCTCTTGCTCAGGCTGGTTTTGAACTCCTGACCTCGAGCAATCCGCCCGCCTCGGCCTCCTAGAGTGCTAGGATTACAGGCGTGAGCCACCGCGCCTGGCCCTTTTTGATTCTTAATAAACTAATTATTAATTCTTCCAATATGTATCTTGTGCTAAGCTCCTGGGGAAGACCCAGCCCTGCCTCTTCAATAAGGAGAGTGACTGCCAAGTACTAGGACATTAAATAATGCCAACTCCCCGCCCTAGCTCCATTGGTGTCTGAGAAGCAGAATGCTCAGGCAGAAGCCCAGAAACCAGACTGGCAGGGTGGGGTGTGTTCTGCCCCATCTCCCCCGGACGCATCAAGGCTGCGTCCTGCCGCTCCTGCCATTGTCCCAACTCCAGTGTTCACAGAGATGCTCCAGCACCCTGGCCTTGTGGTCCCTGGACCTCCTCTTGTGCAGTGATGGCCCCTGCACTCCATGTCACCCATCCATCCCTCCTGCTCCCATGGTCGCCTCTTGGACTGCGTTATTGCCAGAAACAGCCATTTCCAGAAAGAATAACCGAAGCGTCCCTGTCCAGCTGGCTCCTCCAACCTCGTGGGTCCCCATCAATCCGCTGACTCTTCGGCCTCCTTTCCATCCGCCACCTGCCGTATGCGGCTGGGCCCCCGCAGCCTCCCATCTCAGTAGCACACTTGCCAACCTAGCGTGTCCCCTCCTTCACAGCGCCACCTGGATGGACCCAGCCGTAGCTGAGTGAGTGCTGGGGGGGCTCATCGGGACCGCTATACTTTTTTTTTCAGAGATTGCCAACCTCTACCGGGTCTTCCCTCCACGCTGCTCACTTCTGCTTCACTTGGAATGATTTTCAAACCATCCTTACTCTCCTCAAACCCCAGACCTCCCCTCCTTTCCCCATTTGGCAGATGCCCTTGTCACCTGATTGACCAAGAATACAGACGCCACCCAAAGGTACTCTCTCAACTTCTTGCTGCCCTGTGGTTGACCTAGGCAGGCAACTACCTTCTTCCCTTCTTCTCTCCTACCATAAGGTCTGACGCCGGCCCTCCCACCTACACTTTCATCCAGTCCCCGTAGGTTA